GTAAAAGCCTACTCATGCTTTGAAAAGATTATATTTCTTTGTGGTCATGCTTTTCCTTTGCACATTAAGTTTTCCAAAAACAATCTTCCTGCTAAGAACTGATTCATTGGGTAATTTCAGTTTTCCAATGTAAAGAAAAACTCTGCACATGAGCATCTACTCCCACTGACCGCTTTACAAGAGGACTGTGGCACTCACCTCTGCCATTGGGATTTGAAAATACTCACAACACTTCACCTTTATGCTGGGCTAAACTCAGGGTAGCCATAAACACTCTGAAGTAATACAAACCTAAATATTCCTGCTAGGCAAACGGAGCAGTGGAACTGAATTATAATGAGCTAGCAGCTGTCACAATATGACCACAGTAACCAAATCAAAATATCAACCGCTAACCCAGATGAGATTCAAAGGTCATCCTATAAGCCAGCAGCTTTCTTCAGTTCTGCCTGAAACCTCAAACTAATCCTGCAGTAAAATGTTCCACTGAGCTAGTTTAGAAACCAGTTACTCTATGCTGGTGAATTATTTAGTGCCTTGGTACAGTACCATTAGAGGACTAAAACCAAATACCACAGTAAGGAAACTGAACTACTCACAATGGGACATGTGAAAACACAGCAGCTGATGTTGAACTAAGCTGCGCCCAACTGCACAAAAGTATCACTTTTCACCTCCTTCGGGCTCCAATTCATGTATATAATCTTACTGGGCAACATGCTCACTTATCCTCAAACAATCTGCTTTTCAATTAAGGCTCTGGAACAATAGAAGGAAAATACATGCTTAGATTCTTCCTTGGATCAAAGAGTTTTAGCCAGAACATATATTGTCTATCATTGTAAAAATATTTGGAGAATCACTTGAAAAAGTTTAATGGATGGCCCAAAAAAGGCAGAAATGTTTTTAAAACTCTATATTCTTTGTATACAATTTTGGCCAGGATTTTCAAGCTAGCCTATAGCATAAAAGTAATCCTCTTAAAGACACAGAACTCAGATCCAGGGCCCCTCAGTCTGATTAGCATATTCAGACAGCTACTCTAAGTGACCACCGGTGAAGGTTCGACCAAACTGCTTTAAAAATACAGTGAACAAGTTTCTAATACATCAAGGGTACATTACTGTGGTTACAGACAGTCACCAGAATGCAGTGATTTGTTTCCTCTGGATACAAAAGAGTACATGGAATTCCATCCAAGGCAAAATGTAAAGTGGCATCTACCCAGTGCAGGCAACAACTGAGCATTACTAAGGGCCGGGCGAGCACAGTGTAGCTCCTGGGCAGTGCAGGGGATGAGAAGCCCTGTCACCAATCCCTCCAGAAGCCTTTCTACAACAAAACAACCCCTCCCCCCCCAAAAAATCCATCCATACCTACTCTTTTTTTAATTTAGGAGCTTGTTTTTGTTAACTTCAGTTATATTTTTCTTTCAAGGGTTTTCACAATATCAACGGCTGAAAGTCTGTGTGGTAAGAATAACTACAGACTGAAATGTAATGAGTAAGAACAATCATACAGTCCGAGAAGTGTCGGTAATTCTTTTAGCAAAACAGACACATTTGTGTGAGTATATGAGCCTGCATGTGCACACACACACACACAAGCACATGTGTTTGTTTTTACTTTAGTGATTCACAAGCTATGAAACAGGGTATTATTTTCAGATATACTAACTTATTTCTAAAAGAATAAATTAACACTTTATTACTCTTATCGTTTATGTCATTTTGCATAAATTTGAAATAGAGCTATAAATGAACAGTTCTGGTATTTTGGCATCTATTAGAAGTATTTATTATGGGAAAAACTGTAACATTTAGGCAAAACCATGTAAAATACAAAGTTTAGAGTTATAATGAAGGGTTCTGTTATCATAACATAGTTATGGACAAATATGTTAGCAATACCTATTAAGAGAACACAACCATAAAGAACAAAACATATAATAACAATTCACTACCAATACGAGAGTGGCACAATATTTTTTTCTTCCCTTCTAATACAATAAAACATTACTAAGTAAACATGTTAAACCCCCTACCAAAAAAAAATCAGGTCATCTGCAGTTAATAACCCTTTCCCGTAAAATTAGTGTCACTTATTTCTGTAGCAGACGCCTAATTCAGTCACAGGCTTGATTGATTTGACAATAGAGAATCTGCTCCAATAAAGTGCCTGATTTATTTCTGATGCTATAGCTTTTACCCAATGTGACATCATGGCAGAATTAAGTCTTTGAAATGTAAAGAAATCTTTTGCAGTTTTAATGAAAACCAGTTAAAGACTGTGAGAGTAGACTACTATCCAAAACTTGATATCTTCTTTTGGAACAAGGACAACACCCACAATGGTCTTATGGGTAGAAAATGGGTCTGGACACAAGAACAGTTTAGAATATAGCACACAGTTTCTAAGTTCAAATTATTCTCTATATTAAGAGGTCTTACTTTGTCTTTACCTCCACTTGTAAATAGGTTCTCTTTAATTTCTCGAAAAGAACAATGCAACAAATACCAAACATAGCTCATCTTAAATCTGGCTTCATTTTAAGTAAACAGCAGCATGGGCAAAATCAATGAGAATCTTTGTTCCCCGAATCTGGCCCCGAGATGCCCAAGCCAATCAAGGAGGCGTTCAGGATGTGAGAAATTACAGCAGTAGGCAAAGTTTTTAATACAACATCACTGTCAGTTCTCTAAAAACATTTTCTTAATTCTTCCCTAACTAAAAATGTAAGGTATTCCAGACTTTTTCCAACATCTTTTTACCCTTTCTTTTTCTGCACACTGCACAGTGCCCTGTTGCTCTGAGGGCGACTTCCCTGACCCAAGTCTGACACTGCCCCGTTAATGTCTGATAAACCATTTAGCCCAAGCACAATTCTTTTCTGTGCAAAAATCTGCTTGAGGTGGAAAATGTAGCAGTTTGTAAACAATAAAGAGCCATGTTTCAGACCAGACGGCTTATCTAACAGAGAAGTCCTTTCATTGGGAACAGTGGGTGGGAGCCTCGTGGACATAGTAGCATTTCCTATCACAATGCAGGAGACTGTCTTAGCCTCCATATTTAAGAGTTTAATGGGAAGGAGGGCAGACAGCTTGAAAGAGCAAGGCTGACATGGATTTTCAGCTTAAACAACAACAAAGTGAAAAGAATCAGTTCTCTCCGCTCTAGACTGTCAGCCCACTTATATTTTAAATACTGTTTGGGTTGAAAAACTAATTTGGTTTGTAAAACAGATGCCCATGCGGAAACATGAAAAAGAAACAATCATTTAGTATATTTCTATTCCTTGGTATATTCTGTAATATTAACTTATTAACTTTCTTTTTAAGCTTTTTTTGCATATATCACACAAATTTCTAGAAATGAGTAGGAATTTATTCACTGTATTTTATTTACATTAGCTTATCAGAGGATAACTTTAAAATATTCTAAGGCAATATAATCACTAGTTGCTACTTTTTTTTTGTTGGTACTGGGGATCGAACTCAGGACCTTGCAAGGCAGGCGCCGGCACCACTGAGCTAAATCCCCGGCCCTTTAGTTGCTACTTTTAAAGACTCAGTTTCAAATTAATCCTTCAATTCTATTTTATGAAACTGGGTGTAGAGGAAGTAAAAGTGTTAGAATTAAAATCATTACTATTGACAGTGAAGAGTCCAAAACTATCCTTTAATCTAAATCTTTTATTCTTTAAAATCTAAGTTGACAAATATATTTCATCATGTGTTTCTACGTATCTTAGAAACGGAAGACTTGATGGACCTCCCTATCAAGAACTGATAAAGAACTAAGATTCTCTTCTTCTTTATAATGTTAACATTTAAAAATGAAATTTACTATTGTAAAGTCAAAAAGAGCACAAAAATAAGAACTACTGATCATTAAATATAACTTCGTGGTGCTCAAAGTTGGGATGACATTCAAAGGCACAAACATGTTATACCCATAATTTTCTGTCAAATGCCTAACTTGATGGTGTTTTGGGGGGAAAAAAACTGAAATTAAAACACTATCCACATCTTAAGTAACTGGCGTGGCTTCCAACACTTAAAAAAATGAGAAAATTCTTTGTAAGCATTTCCAATTTCAGTTACAGAATGACAGAACTATTGCTATATGTTTTCCTTGGAGAATGGTTTCCGGCTTATAGCATATCTAACTTCATTTATTGACAGATTTGCAATAAAATTTGACCAGGCTGACAGATTTACTAATATTGTTAAGAATTCACATTTACTAAAACAAAGATCATTTTGTAAAATCAAAACTGAAGTAGCCAGCTATTGGAACCTTTTAAGCCACTATGAATTATCTTTTTATCCCTCAGGTTATTGCTGTTAAACAAACATCTCTACAATGTAGTCAAAAGCAGAAAAATATGCTAAGAAGGGCAGTATGAACGTCATGATAGAAAGTCTCAGACAGCTTCAAACAACAGACAGCACTGTACCTTGCTTCAAGATGAGATCTGCCTACAATTAGCCCTAAAGTTCACACCTTGACAAGAGACACAAGCAGGCTTTACAATTCAACTTGGATGCACTACTCTGATTTAAGCAAACTAAAACCTACTGATAGTATTTTATTTCCATAATTCCAAAACTAAAAGCTCACAGCTAACACTATATGTCCTTGCCAATCAACAAGTTCAATCATAATATTATTCTAAATATTCACCACTTTGACTCCCTCAAGCTTGTCCAAGAAAATCACCATTGCAACACTGTCATTGGGATAACTGCTTTGTCTAAGAAAGTTGACATTTCCACAGAGATTCAGAATCACAGAAATCTATTCCACATAACTGTAAAACTTAGTCCTTTATATGCTTTTAACAAGCATAGATTGTTATATTTTTCTGCAACTTAAGATTTCTATAGTAAACTGGCTAAATATCCAAGTTCCTAAACACCGAAGCTTGCTTTGAGGCAATTTCTTCCATGGTAAAACATAAACACTCAAAGTGCAAGTTAATGTAAAATTTGTCTTACTTTGTATTCTGGAATTGACAAAAGGTGGAGAGAGATTGTCATGTGACCCAAGGTCCCTGCTGGTCATGTGGTCATAGGGAGTCCCATCTCCATAGTTCTGTAGGTAAATAACAGGGTAAGTTTTAATTTTACATTAATAAATCAACATATAAATGCATTCCCACTGCTGAAACCTCTCCTAGTCAAAGAAGCTGGAGTCTATTCTTTTCCCTCCCAGGAACCTCTCTTCAGGAAACCATATCTTCCCACGGATGGTGTAAAAGAGACATCTAGAGTCTACAGAGTTCAAAGTTTCCTCATAATAACTGTGAATTCTTGAGAATAATAACAATGATACCAAACTATGTGGAGTTTTTAATATGATTAAATGAAATAATGCATATAAAACTCCATACACATGGGAAGTATATATTAAAAAAACATTAAAAGTTGTGGTTTTTTGGTACCAGTGATCAAACTTGGAACCTTGCTTGCAGTTGAGAGGCAGGTGGTGGGGAACCACTGAGCTAAATTCCCGGGCTAAAAGTTATTCTTTGATAAGTCTACATTAAAGCATGATTGTGCTATAAAGGGAAAATCACCCATAGCCTATAAATGATGTGCTTTTGGAAGACCAAAGCAGAGTTATTTAACTCTTTTTTTTTCCTTGGTACCAGGGATCAAACTCAGGACCTTGCGCTTGTGAGGCAGGCATGGTGCCACTGAGGTAAATCCCCAGCCTAAAAGTAGTTATTTAGATAATAACTTCCAGTTATATAGTATTCAAGTTTTTATGTCTTATGATAGTTACTATTATGGTTTTAGGAGAACTGGTAGCTTCTACTGGTAAGAATATGAAGCTTAGGGCCAGGGATTTAGCTCAGTGGTTCGGCTGCCTGCCTCGCAAGCGCAAGGTCCCAAGTTCGACCCCCAATACACACAAAAAAAGAATATGAAGCTTAGAATATAATCATGAATGAACATAAATCTTTAGCATAAATTAGTATATCTGGAGTTGGATATAGCATGCCACAAAAAGAATCCTAAAACAGCCAATTTTTGGCAAAACTTTTTCATTATTATAATAATCTCCTTGATTTACTGGGAATTTAAAATTCAAATAATATGTTTAAGTTCTGTTTAAATTTAATGGAAAAATTTGATAACATGTAAAAAAGGTTACAATTTTCTGTATTATATGGTTCAAATCTTTGCCTAAAGTACATAAAGTGACCCCCCTCAAAAAAAGGGTGGCTCTGCTCAGCTGGCTGAACTACCTATAAAGTCTAAGTCAAATTTACTCAGTAGGATCAGTTGGGTGTTAGCCAAAGGGCAGGCTACACAAAAAAGATGGATATTGTGTGAACAATGAAAAGGCAGAGAACAACCCAAATCTTAAACAACACCGTTTTCAACTATCTTTCCTCTTTTATAAAAATTAATTTGGATGATGCTGTAATCTCATTTTGTCAGTATGTGGACATATAAAAAGATGCTACATTTTAAATATTTGGCATAAAATTTACACTCATACATTATACACCACATACTGCGTAATACCAACTATTATTCATCCTATATAGTGGATGTGTAGTGTCATCATCCTACATAGTGGACTGAAGGTATAATATACATTATCTAACTGAATCCCTCAGCATAGTCCTCCAGGTAAAAAATAATATCACCACTTGAAGGCACGAAGAGAGAGACTTATAAGCTTGTCAAAATACAATTCTGCAAATAATCTATCCTGGGCAAACTACTTGGATTTGAAAATATAACTTATAATATATACTAATTCAAAATTATTCACCAATATGTTCCTTAAGAAAAATGATATATAATGAAAAGTATATTAAAAAGTAAGAATGATTGTAGACTGTCCCAAAACTCAATTAAAATTATTAAATTTTAACTAATAATTTCCTATTCTTATTATGTGTATTCAGTTCAATATTCATAGCACTGTACTAAATTACATACACTATAACTGTACATAGGAAAAAGAAATTAAGTAAATCTGAATGAATTGAACAATAGAGGGAAATTCTGTCATCTCTATTTGCTGTCAAAGGGAATGTATTTATTTCTGCAAGTGCAGACTGTAACATGAGGAGGAGGAAAGATTTCCTCAGCTCATCCATATAATGCATTAGAATGTCAAGCTCAACAGCTGGTATAAGGCTCAACCAAGTTCGTAGTAAGCTTAGAGATCCTGCTATACCCTGAAGACCAGCGTGAGGCTCATATAGCCAAGGACAGGTGGAAACTAATGACTAATACTTGCTTAAATGTCCATGTACTGACAGCCTGATGATGACCTCCTCTGTCTATAATGCCAAAGTAGAGACCCCCTACTTCCCCAAACTGAAGTGAGTACTTGCAGTAAAATATTATCCTCTTAGCAGAGTGCTTGCTTCATCTAGAGTCAGTTGAGGAAGGGAGACATGTTTGTTTTGCCAGGTGAACTAGCTCTACTTTTAATTTGGGGCATTTTATGAAGTTTGAAACTTGCATGCCTTTAAGAGAACCTAGCAAAGAGTCTGTTAAAGACAATACATACAAAGCTTAAATGCCACATGGTTTCTCTTATATGAGAAACACAAAATATAAAAAAAGAGCAAAATAAAAGATGATAATAAGAAGTAGGGAGATGGACCTTTTTCAAACAGGAAGGGGATTCAGAGATGGGGAAAAGGGAAGTTGAGAAAGAATTGAGATATGTTATGTACATGCATGAGATCCATACAAGGAATGTGATCCTTGTGGACTAATGAACATGTACCAATAAAGAAGCTGAGAAGAATAAACTAAAAGACATCTTATACAAAATCAATGCTTACAGTATTTAAACTAGAAGATACATAAAGATCCTCTGCTTCTGGTTTTGCATTTTACAAATTAGGAAAAAGAGGGCTAAAGAGGTGAAATGACATGCCCAGGGTACTGTGCCCACAGAAACTACAATAATGAACCCCTCTCCTCCCCTACCCCATCCTATGATCTTCCTATTACACTCCAAGGAGCAACCAATGGTGGAGGAAAATTGCAACAAAGGGCAGCAAAAATATAAGACCAAATAAATGAATAAATCTAACTGGTGACCCAACCCCATACTAGTAGAATAACAACACACATACAAAGTGAAATCGACCCTAATTTATTACATAGATTATATTGGTAGGCTAGAAACTTATACAATGTCATCATGATTATTCTTTAGTCTGTTCAAACCAATACATTATAAGGATGTTGTTCTATTTTAACATATGGCTCTCTATAATACTAGATCAATAACTGGAAAAGGTAAGATCAAATATTTTTTAAATAACTCTTCTTTTGGTTAGCACAAATGGAACATGTATGAATTCTGTAACAGTACCTAATAAGTGAATGAAAAAAAAAAATCTCAAAGACAAACTGATCTTCATTAAATTTAGTATGCATATATATCTGTACAGAGGCGTGTGCATGCCTGTGTGTGTGTAAAAACTCACCTTCAGTTTTTCAATTCACATATGTGGTAAGTCTGGCTGTGGGAAAAAACATTAGATATACTTACCCTGGATGGGCTTGGATGTCCTCCATTCCCCCAGGACCCTGAGCTACTTCTGTCTTCTACATCTAGGGACAAGAGAAAAGTTCTTTAGGCCTTCTTGCAATAATTCTTTCTTTTTATATACGCACTTTTAAATTAATGTTTCAAATTAATCTCCTGTTGCCTTTAATTAAGAACCAGGTATCGGACTACTATGATGATAGTGGCTTCTGACCCATCTACTTAAATTAACTCATTTAAATTCACAGCAGAAATGAACTGGACCCTCAGGAACCAGAGGTATGCACATAAAAATTACTTCCCCATCCTTCAAAATGTTTGATTGCCTCGATTTTTACAGACACAAAACTGCAAGTTTTACTAAAATCCTTTGGACAAAATATGTTTATAAAACACAATAATACCACCTTAATCCAAAAGGAGAGGTTAAACTGAAATAAATATCCATACTAACATGTTCAGCATCCTTGCCACAATGATTTTGTATACTTACAGAGCTCTAGCCAAGGTTTATTGTGGCAGACAAAGACAAGCAACAGAAAATATGAAACAAAAGAAAATACTAGTAGCCTACTTCCATCAGCACATTACAGGTATATTAGTGTTGTTTAATGGTTTTTTCAAGGTTGAAAAAACACTTTCTCTTTTAAAAAAATTTTAACTAGACATAACACTTGGCCTCTAGTCTTTAACCTGGATTTTCGGATGTGGAAATGAAAGTCGCTATGAAATCACGAAACCACATTTTATATTGATAAATACTGGTGAAGAAACCAACCTAAACTCCCAGGAAATTGGAATTCACTAAATTCTTTTCCAGCGTGGTTCTAAAACCAACTGGATTATGACATTTTCCATCAGTGCTCTGTGTGGCAAATATCCAAACAGAGGGTAGGACAGTTAAGTTACCGTAATAATTACTGAAAACATTACAGTATTTTAAAGATCACTCACTCTACACTTAGGAATGGGCTTGAGATTTTTGATGAAAGGCCCACCGTAACCATAAAATGTTCCCCTATTATATGATTTTGATCATGGCTGATAACAGACATTGCAAACATCCTGACAGAAATGGAAGAGAGTGTGAAACCCTGGTCCAGACAACATAATCCCATAATTTATTGTGTTTCCTAACATTTTGGTGACATTGTTTTTTCTCTTAATGCTCTGTTAATATTCCTTTTATTACTGCTATTTCATTAGAAGTAATCACAGTGTAATTGATTGATTTATTTTGGGAACAGTAGAGTACACCATGTTACAGAATCTCTTAAGAGACATAATAAGCAACAACTAGCCTATTTCCACTAAGCGCTCTCTCTCTCTCTCTCTCTCTCTCTCTCTGGCTCACTTGCTCGCTCTTGGTCTTTGCCTACCTCCTGCCTTCCCTCCCACAAAGAGTATCTCAGTTCCTTTTGGTTGATGCTTCAGAAAACAATGCAACTACAAACAGATGTCCCCTGTGGACAGTTAGAATCAGTGCTCGGTGAGCTTTAAGGCACACGAACAAAGCTCTAGGGACTGAATCACACCTGGAGAAAAGGTATAAAACTTTCCCAAAATCTGCTGTTTATTCCGTATATGGTGCACTGAAGTACATAAAGAAGTTACTACAACCCTCTGGGATCCCTACATGAGTAAATTTTGTAGCCTACATGGTTCTCTCAATTCTTAACTAAAAAACAAATATTTTCAGTCCCCCCAAAAAAGGACATATAAATAACAAAATCTTTCAACCACCGATTCTCAAAAGTCAGGTAAAACTTGATTTCCTGTTCACCTGTAACAACCAGCCTGGATTCATATGACAGCTTTCTCTTCAACGTGGCCAAAAAGTAATAAAGGAACATGTTTGAATCCTTTTGTCTACCAAAGACTTCATATTGTTTGGACTCATTTTAACTTTTCAATTTGAAAAAAGGATTTTTAAACATACAAGGTCTGCAGACATAATACTGCTAGGCTAGTAGTCTCTACTGGGATAATTTTGTCCCCAAAGGGCATTGGTAATGTCTAGGTACAATTTTGGTTTTAACAATTTGGAGACAAGCCCTGACATCTTGTGGGTAAAGGTGAGGTACGCTGATAAGGATCCTACAACCAAAAATGTTCTGGTTCCACATGTCAATTGTTCTGAGATTTAGAAGCTCTAAAAATAAAAAATAAAAAACTCAAACTGGAGAAAAAGATGTAAGATAATTTGATTTATAATTCAGTAAGAGTTCTTCCTAAACACACATTCTTACACATTTCAACTCAAACTCGACTGAAATATTTCATGAGACCTTTATATACATCTTCTGTTCACCAATAAAGGAAAAATGATGGTCAACCAAACAGCCTGCTAATTAGCAGGCAGATAAAACACATCAGAACTTGAGTATTCCCAACTGGGCAATTTCAAAAGCGAGCAATCCACTAATTAAAAATTCTGGAAGTCAAGCTTTTTCAAAACAGGTTAAATACTGGCTGGGTTCCTTCACAAATAAATTCCCAACCAATCATATCTGACTTCTCTATTCCCATGCTTTCCCATTCTCATTTCCTGACCTCGGGCCGCTGTCCCTTCCTTTCTGTTTCCTCCCTTTTATTGCTCTCTTTTGAACAAGCTCTTCCCTCCCTTGGCCTCCTGCTAGGTCTAGAAGATGAGGACAAATCACTAGCTCCACCAAATCCAATAAATACAACCACCATATGAATTCTAATTGTATTTTACCTGGGGAAAAAAACCTATATAACTGATGTTCATTTATCCACAGCAAGAAGAAACAAAGGTATAGCTTGGATAGTGGTAATTCATAATGAAGGTAAACATGCTATTTTCCAGTCATTCCTTTCCATCTTCCCTCCACTAAGCCTCACAAGATCTGTCAGTTATTGAGCAGGTATTTCCTCAATAATTAGCTGAGTCCATCACAAAGTGTACCCTCCTATATCTGGCATGCTTATTTCAAAATGAGCTTCCGAGAACCTATCTCAGACCTACTGAGTCCGAAACTCTAGGGTAGAGGCCGAAACTCTAGGGTAGAGGCCAAGGAAACTGTTTTTAACAAGTGTGCTAGGTAATATTCATGTGCCAAGTATTTGAGAACCACAAGACCATATTACTAGAAACATAGGATAAATCATGCCCACATCACTAACAGAGGCCTGTCTCATGCCATATCTTAAAAGTCTTGTGTAGGACACCCTCAGTATACCCTCCCATCTCATTCACACCCCAGTCATTCTTACCTGGACTCACTTTTCATGTGCACCATGTATATGGACATCCCTTACTCCCTGCTAGACACTGCACACTCTCTGACTCTACCATGCCATTGTTCCTGGTATTCCCTTTACCTAAAGTGTTTCTCATCTCCCCCCCAAAATAGTATCAGCTCACACGCAATGACCCTAAATATGTATTAAGGCACTGCTGGACACTTACATACTTAATGGTATCACAGTTTTATCTATCAGAAAATCGAAACTTAAATGGTATAGAAACTTGCCCAAGGTATCAGTCAATGGCAGAGCAGGGACAAAAATACAGGTGCTAGGGGATGCTAGGGCCAGTGAGGGTTCTTCCCCATCACCATAAATTCCACTATGGTAAGAATTTCCTATCTACAACCACCTAGAAAGTTTCCTCCTGTCACTTCTCCCCAGACGGAATGAATAAATTTATTTGGGAGTTTCTACCCACTCGTGTCCACGAAAGAGTACAGAATCATATAAAACATTATACATAAAATGAATACTTGAGGGAATCAAGGGGATAAAATAATACAAGACTGAAACAATAAAAGCAGAAGTATGATGGGTTTATAAAAATCCATATTGTGGAGAACTTGGGATCTGCTAGAGGAGGGCCAAAATTTTAGAAGCTATTAAGTAAGCAAAGCAAGAGTGAAACAATGACCACCAGTCATTGTTTAGGAGAAGGGTAACTAAATCTCGCATTGATCTTGACGGGAAAAGTGCCTCCAGTGCCCCCAACACAGAGGACAGAATGTGACAGAGCTATGCATAATATATAATAAAGGGACACCAGTGAAGTTTGTGAGGCTGGCTCCATGCTGCAATTCATTAAATATATAGGACCCAGTACAGAGATAACCATGTAGGTACACATATAGCTATACAGCCACACATTTATATCATACCAAACTATGATCTAGGAAAGAAAAATGCTTAACTCAGGAAGTACCTCTGAGTACCTTGTGGGGTACAGAACAGTGGATGGGCTCATTAGTTATTTACTGAATTAGAATACCTCAAAGACAAATAAGACAAGTGTTTACATCTAGATGGTGAGATAAAACCATATACAAGGAAAAGATGTGTGAAGTCCATTAATGCAACGTAGTAACAAATGGGTTGTCTAAATATTCAGTTCTCACCTCTCCCTTGTTCTACTGCCACCCTCCACTCAAGATGATAATGAAAACCAAAGACAGTATCTTTGACAGAAAGAGCAAAAGGAAAAGAGCAAGTGCATATAAAATTATACTTCCCAAAGCTTGAAATGTACTCAACTGTTCAAGATTTTTCTAATTTCTTATTTTATCCCAACTAGGATAAATTTGGTAACTTTCATGGGGAGCGACAGGGCAATCTGCAAATTGTCATTTTTTGTATTAGTTCTACATGAGACCACTCTAAAACGTCTGACATTTCAGTGCCAAATTGCAGATGTTAGTTTGGACAGAACTAGAACCACGCACTCCATTTAAAGAATAGAATTCTTGATTTCTGTAATTTTTCCATCTGCATTCATTATTCTTAGGATTTGATTACTCAAATCACTTTGATTTTGTGGACAGTGAGATCAAAACTAGCAGACTAGACAAACTGTACCAAACCCAGACCTGGGAGTTGGGGGAACCACGCGTTTCAGCAGTAACTCTGCCTTACCCAGCTCCTCGGTCTGAGCAAGTTACTGGCCTCTCTGAACTTATTTTTGTGAACTGTAAAATAAGTGAGTTTGATTTCCATTCTTGGAAATAGGGCAGGCTAGTATATTTGGACAACTCTCCCACAGAAAACTAAAAATGATGGATAACATTTTTTTACATCT